ACAAGAGTATGTTGTAGCAAGGTGAAAGCCGCATGCCCTAAATTCAGAAGGATGAGCAACTCTCAGGCCTTCAGAAGTGAAACCAATGGGCACTCATGGCACTCAAGGAATAGATACTATGTGGTTTCTCATTTGAGAGAAGGTTGGAATAGAAAAGTTTAACAAGTTATGAACAGGCTCGAGAAGAGGGGTTGATGAAGGAGAAACTCTCAACCTAGACCTTCATTGAGTGAGATGATTTCATACTTGTAAACAAGAATTCAAAGGGATCAAGTTGACTATGATTTTAGTCATGCAAATTGTACTAGTGTTATCACAACAAATAGTGATATTTGTAAATGAAAAACTATAACCAGATAGTTGAGCCTTCATCCACATAAGTTGTGCACAACAGCTTCCACTTGCCATGTATTCAGCTTCGGCAGTAGAAAAAGGTATTGCACTTTGTTTTTTACTAAAGAAGGAAACTAATGCAGGTCTAAGAAATCGACTTGTGCCTAAAGTCCTTTTTTTATCTATAAGACTGCCTCCAAAATTTGAGTCACTATATCCAATAAGTTCGAATGATTCAGTAGTAGGATACCATATTTCAACATCACTTGTTCCTTTAAGATATATGAAAATTCTTTTTACTCTTACTCAGCATCAGTTTGCTATATAGTCAATCGAAGTTTGAATATAAGAAACTAAACTACTATATGGTTAACTAGCTAATTACGAGTTATAGGCTCAATTGGGTGTTTGAATCCACCTAGCCACTAGCCGGTTGAGATAGATGAGGCTCTAATTTTTTCCACTCTCGTCATAATGTGGACGATCCTTGACCAGGTCTTAAATCTCGATTAAAGCAATCAAGGCCCTCTTGAGTCGGTAGTATAGAGGGGTGCACCCTTCTTTAGTACAACCGATTAGGGCATTCTACACTAGATCCCCTCTATTGGGTGAGGTTCCCACTCAATACGAAGCATGAAATCAACTCAATCTCGCACAATCGACCCCCTACTTCCAATCTATGGTGCTTTAATTGACACAATCAGGTATTCCCTCTCATAGATCAATAACCAAATCAATAACCTCGATTAAGCAAAAGTGAACATAAAAACATGCATAGATTGGATATGAACTCAAGTTTAGGAAGAAAGAGTACTCATACAATAATCAATTCAACAATTCATATCTTGGGTTCATCAAGTATAGAAAATCTACTTTAGGATTCCTACCACCAAGCTTGATCTTCAAAAGAAAATTGCCAAGATTCCCTCCTCGATCAGCCTAGGACCTTCCTCTGCCTCTAAATTTCCCCCTAGGGTCGTTTGGAACCAAAAATCCCAGCCTCCTTGACCTAGATATGAAAACCCAGCTTTATACTAGATCTGCAGATATGCAAAACTCGGGCCTAGTTTCCTGGCAAAGTTTTGGCTCGGCAGGCAAAACGCGGTCGAGTTTTGTAGATGAGTTTTGGCCCCAGGGCAAGTTTTGTTCCCTGTGTGCACTCAAACCTAGTTTTGATGGCCCTGACCGAGTTTCTTCCTCTAGAACACCTTTAAATTGCCAAAAGACCTCCAGATGACCCAAAACTTGCGCCTAAACCTTCCTTTCACTTACTAGGACTTGAAATACATCAAATGAACATAACCTAGCATAAAATGGGCAAATGATACATGTAATCAAGTAATGATTAAGAAACAATCAAGAAAGGAGGGGTAAAATATGTGTAATTTAGTCCGAATTAGTTATCATGTTCACTTTTGTCTACTTCTGAAACATGGTCGAAGAATTGTTAAGGTAGAGGCCAGTAAGCGACCGAATCGCAAAACCTTTCTTCTTTCGTGGAAGTGGGGTGACTTGGATGGCGAAAATCCAAAGTCTCACTCCTAAACTCATGACCCTAGGTAAGCCTCTTAAGTTTGAGCTTGTTTTTCTTGTCCTTGGTTTGTGATAGGCTAAAAAACAGGGAACTAGACATGATTTGTACGTGATAGAGTCCTGCCTAAATCGTCGCTCCTTCGCAATATGTTAGTAAAACGACGCTATTGCCACCGGTATGTTGTTTGTGGTTCAATCTTCGATCGAAGGTCGACCAACAGAGACTTGATAGTAAATGAAAATTTAATTACAAAGAATAAAGTACGAGAATTAAAATGAATAGAAAATAAAACAAAATAGAGGGGGTAAAAAAAGATGGGGCACCAAAACACGACAAAAATTGCGCCAGATCGTCCAATTATGCCCATCTCGAAATTGACTCTAGATCCTGACTAATACACATAGACTCAACTCAAAAGAGAAAATAAATACAAACAAAATTAAAATACGAACAAAAGGAAAAAAAGAAGGGATAAACTCTTACCTCGTTCTCTTTCTGATGGTTGTTAGAAGTCCACGACAACGTCACCAAAACTTGATCCTCTTGCAATAGTGGTCCAAATTTACCTCATTCTATAGCCATGATTATATTTCCTTAGGTTCTCTCACAACCACATGTGGTGAGAGACAAGTTTTATGGTGGTTTGGAAACGATGTATAGGATGAGGTTCCTCCGGGATTGAAGTTTCATTGGTTTTACCGAAATCTAAAGTGAAAGCACTGCAAAAAATGAAACCTATAGCTAGCGCAAGTGTAGGAAGTAGGAGGACGGGGCGTTGCATAGTCAAAGCTCCCCCTAGAGTTCATGTACTCGTATCTCGATCCAGACAACATATAAGTTGCTTGATCCTTATGTAATCTGATCTTACCTTGTGCCAAAGTTTCTTGCCTTGATATGGCATGCAACATGGACCCATCAGATTTCTCCCTTGAGTCGTCGTGCTGGTTGATCGAGTTGAGAATTGATCATAGAGAACTATCGTATCCAGTCTCGTTTTATGCGACTAGGATTTCGATACTTGCACCACATAGAAATGCAAGTTCAATTTAGGAACTCTTTCAGTCGAACAAAAGATAACATATAGGAATCAAATACAAAAGAAAGAAAGAATAATGTAATTTTTTTCCAAAATTGTGAATATAAAGTCAAGATCCTCTAGGGTTCGCAAACCTATGAAACTAAGTCTAAAAAATTGACGCCACGAATAGAGATTTCAGGCTCTAGTCAGCCGATCTGGGCACCGATTCCCTCTGGTGACTGGCGTCGTTCTAAGTTAGAAAGGTTACTCTGTTGGCAAAATAATTGCCTTTCTAATGCCTCCTATCGCTGGAACTCCTTCCCTTTGGAAGTTTATTTATAGACTTTTCTTTAGAATTTTGGTGGAGAGAGTGCTATTAAATAATTCATTTTGGCATCCCTTTCGTCTCTTCCAGCATGGCAATCTTGCAGGGTCTCTGAAGGATATGACAACTTCTGGTCGATCCCCAAATAACGCTTGGGACACCGTTTCAATGGTTAGGTATGGGGTTGGAAGTAATACTTTTCACGGGTCATAAAAAACCTAGAGTTTCAGTCTAATGAACACAACGCCACAAAAAAACCTTTCTTCCCCAAGTCAACCCGTCTCTATTATCCCTTTGCAAACCAAAACAATACAAGCACATCTCCAGTACGGGTGGCTATATGGTCTGGTCTGGTTATTTCGAGAATATGAGGACCAAAGACGGGATTGGATACTGTCTTCTTGATGTGGTCCGATCCCAATCTGGTCTTGATTTTAGATTGAGCGTGTGGGGGTTTGAGTGGGCAAAGGCCTCAAAGGGTGAGGAGTTGGTTAGGTTTTGGGTGTTGAGCTCTCTTATCCGATCTTTATCCGGTTTTCGATTCGGTCCCGAACGGTTTTTTATCTCAAATCTAAGCCCGAAAACGGGATTGGATTGTTTACTATCCAGTATCGATCCGAGTTACACGGTCCGGTTTTGGGTAAAACCAAAAAAGCCGGACCAAATAGCCACCCCTAATCTCCAGTGTCGTTGTTTGTTGGGCATCACCATGACCAACCCAAATCATTAATAGAGTGAGGGCTTGGGGGCAACAAGAATTTAATGAAACATGGAAACCCCCAAACTGTAAGAGTTTAGGCTAACAGAAATGAAATTAAATTACCACAATGGAGAGGAGACAATGCCCTATTTTTATTTATTTTCGCTAACTTTTTCTCAAAACGTCGTCGTTTTGACGTTGGAGAATTTCTCCAGACTGTTCGATATAATTAAAACGAACGAAGTACCGCTATTCATAGGTTCAACATCTAAGGGGTCGTTTGTAAGTTGCGATTGTTTTGTTGAGATTGTCATTATGCATGTATTGTTTACAATGCATCGTTTTTTTTTGTTTTTTTAGCAGAAACAATACATGAATTGTTTCTGTGATGTGACAGAAACTATCACTCATTTTGAGTGATTGTTATATCTCAACTTTTAGTTGTGATTATTGAGATTGTTGAGTTGAGATTGTTTTGTCTCAGCTTTTAGCTGATGCGACATACACAATCACACATACCAAACGTTGTATTCTACAATGCATCAAATTCGACAATACATTAATAATATTATACATGCATTCTCAAGAATGCATTTATTTAACAATCGTAACTTCCAAACGACTGCGAAAAACGTGGCTACACATTTTTTTACCAATTGCTGTTTGTACTGTTATAAATTTGGCTCCGACAATGAGCACTTCTACTATGCTATATAGTATTGGTGCTTTAATGTACAACTTAAAGTTGTACCATAACATTAAATGTATAAGTTTAGGTTGTACCATAAAGCAATTTGTACCATTATGTTATGGTACAACTTTACAACTTGAAGTTGTACCATAACATAAAGGTACAAGTTCAAATTGTACCATAAAAGAATTTGAACAAAAAGTATAGGTACAATCTGAAGTTGTACCACAACGTAAATGTACAATTTTAAGTTATACCATAAAGGTAAAATCTTATAGCATCAATACTATATAGCATTGTAAAATTTCTCCTCCGACAATGTCTTACCGTTTAACCACTGATACATTACATATTTTTAACCCTTGGATCCGGGCACTGTACTACCATCTCGTAGTCATTCCTAACGTTTGATGTGATCGTATGCCGATTCCACGTTGGTCGCGATTGGGAAAATAAGAGGACGGACGGGGCCGAGGACGGAGGAGGTACCCAATTTCATCGATCTTGTCCATTATTCGCCGCCGTCTTCGGTCATCGATCTTGTCCATTATTCGCCGCCGTCTCCGGTTATTGCTTCCGCCGCCAGTTCTTCCTGGCCGCCTGTCATCGTTTATCACCACCGCTACTTGTTCAATTCCCAATGCCATTGGCATCACTCCTCTCGCAATTGAATCTAAGGGAAATCGAACTTCCCCTGAGAGAGAAGTGAACCAGAACCGCAATTTCAGGTAGAGCGAGAGGGAGAGCCCCAGTCGCCGCCGCCCGTCTCCGCTTCCGGTTGTACGCTGAGCCCTCAGTCGCCGCTTCTGTCTCTGTTGCTGTATAATCACTTTTAGGTATATGGCTCCGCTTTTATTCTAAACGAGCTAGCCCATAGCTGTAGTTGTCGCATCTGTGATTATACCCCGTGGTTAATGGTTCAACAATTAACAGTAAGATAGGTGCGAAATGATTTGGAAGCAGAGAAGCTCTTTCATTGAGTATTAGAAACTCCTGTAGGGTGAATAGGTGATTATCGTCTTGGTATTGGGGGGACCATTTCGTCATTGCCGTCTATCAGGGGACTGCAGCAAGCCAGTAGCTCTTGGTTTTAGCTAGAGACATGCTTAGCTGTTCTTTGATTTGATTTTCACTTGCTCGTTTCTGTAGCTGAGCAGAATATATTGCAACTGCGTTGAATAGAATATGTAAAGGGCTTCGGGTTCGGTTCTGCTTGTATTGACCTTGAATAAGTGCTTGTCAGGTAGCTTGTTCTTGCTTCAGCTGGTGAAATGTTGCAATGGTGAGCTGTGATTGTCCCAAGTATGTTTGGCCTATACTGACAAGAGAAGAGTCTTGACTTCTTAGCAAGATGCTTTAATTGACATATCGACAGCAGTGTGCGAGCATATATGTTTTTTTTTTCTTCCTTTCTGCGTGATGTCAGAATGACGTTCTTGACTGAGTATTTCTGAAAGGATGTCTGGAATGATTATAAAAAAAGGATGTCTGGAATGATGGTTTTGATTTCTGTCTTCAGGTTCATCTGTAGGAAGACTTGGGAGATCGTTAGTTGGAATGGCAACTAGACGTCATGTTCATTATAGTCCTCTTGCTACCGATGAAGATGATGAGTATAATGGTATGAGACATGACCGTCGGTTTGATTATACTCCTGGGGCTTTTGATAGAATACCATGGAAGTCTATCGTGCTTGCAATTTTCTTGCTCTTTATTGGATCACTTCTTCTTTTTCTCTCTTTCTTCATTTTGACTGGCCACATGGGAGGAGAGAAGTCACAAGCGTATGGCCTCTTAGCCCTGGGAATCCTAACCTTCTTACCAGGTATGATCAACAATCTGTATTGACAACCGAGAATATGTTTATGCTGTCACCCTTAGTGCTAGGGTTGCAAAATATTTACTGTTGTCCAGGAAGTAGTATTTCTTCTTAACCAATTTCAATGAACTACTGCAAAAAGATCGAAGTCAGGAGGTTTCTTTTCATTCTTTTCCCCTAATATGTTTTGCACTTTAGTTTTCATTTATTTCACATTTAAGTTGAATGGTGAGAGCCTGCATTGTCTATATAATATACCAACACAAAATAGTAGTTACTAGAACGGAATATCTGCCTACGTTGAAGATGCTGACGATGCATCACAATTGTGGATTGTTTAGGTCGCCCTTGCTCTTTATAGTGGGACACAAATCAATACAAACTTACCTTGATTTAACACATCTTCGGTGATTATTCTTAAGCACATTCATAATGGAAATGTTCGAATTTTGATGACAATCCACCTTGGTAACTGCTTATCTGTTTTCTGTATTTTCCTTCTCGTCATTCTTTCTATTGGCTGCTAATGCAATTTGATCCCCAAAGTTTTTTAAGTTTTTATTCCTTTGTATGGACCACAGGGTCGAAGTCAGACTGTATACATGCTTCATTTTATCTATTGGTAGTAATAGCTACAGTTATGAAGAATTTAACACATCAACTACTACTAGGTTTCTTTAATGGTCTGGAGCACTTCACCTTGTTTGCTGTTCTGTTTTCCTGTCACTGTCGAGACTAGCTAATTTACCTTTGAAGTTGGTTTCATAAGTATTGTTTTAATTTCCAGTAATGGTTCTCTTAACATTTGATGATCTAATGAATGGAATTCTACTCGGATGAGTTAAACTCAAGTCAAAGTCCCATGCAGTGACGGACGCAGAGCTTTTATTTAGCGGAGCGAAAGTTGCAACTGGAATTTTACTGTAAACCTCAACAAGAATTTACTGTTAACCTCAACTGGAATTTCCTCCTTAAGCGAAGTGCAGCTGTGTTAGATTCAAAAACTTTCTATGATTGAGAGTTCTTTTGTACCTTTCGGCCAAATCTTTGCTTTTGGACTCTGTTTGACTCTTAATCTCTTGCCTTATTCACTGAACTTTTATGCTTACAATCCCTTGTGGTTTTGAACTTCTGCTTATTGTCGTAGGTTTTTATGAAACTCGGATAGCATATTACTCGTGGCGTGGTGCTAATGGCTATCGATTTGCCGCCATACCGGATTATTAGTCTATTCCTGCATCTGCCGTACTTCTGGAGGGATACGTCGCTGGCCGTGTTGTCAACTATATTATCTTGTATAGAATCTGGCTTTGCACTTATAGATCTGGGCATTCATTTTCAGCATGGAAGTCTTTGTATTTCTTGTGTTGTGAGGTCGATAATTTGGCAAGAGTTCCGGTCTCTTTTTAGGAGAAGATTTTGCCTTCTACATTGTCAGAATTGTTTAATATATTATATTAAAATTTGTTAGAGTGTGATGCATCATTAACACATTGCTGAAAGCTAGTCTCCGTTTTCAAACTTCGAATAACTAAATCTGAATATTTGAATTTGGGTCTAAAAAATTCAGATATAAGGGTTGTGAATTAAAAGCATTTTATTTTTTCTAGTTTTTTTAATTGATTCTTATTTTCTTTGTTCTAAGTTGGATTTCATTTTTTGCACAGATGGAACGAGTTCGTTGTACTCTACAAAATGAGATCAATTTTCAATATTTTTTGAGATTTTTTTTTCATACCTCTCGTTACTAACTCCATACCATATGGTATATCTTTCGTTTTTAAGTCGTTTTTTGAAAATATTTGCACAAAATGATCTATTGGATCTACAAATTTCTGGGTAAAAAAAAAAAATACAGGACCAAAAAATACCATACTATACCACCTTGGATGGGAGATGGTAACTTGTGGTACACAATGACAATATTCATAAATGACAGTTAGTATACTCCTACTATCATGTATTCAACCATTCTACAGTCTTGGTATGTTCATACCGCGATGATACGCTTTCATAACATATGGTATGCTCTTATTTAATATCAGCCAATACCATATTGTATAAACTTGTAAAAATGCCTCAATTTGTTTTTGTTCTAAAATATATCAAAGTGGATCTACAAATTTCTGTGTAAAAAAAATTTAAATTTCGACTTTAAACGAGAGAAAAATCGTCTATTAAACATTAAAAAGGGGAAAAGACTAAAGACTTTCCACAAAAGAGAGAATGCGATGTCACACAGATATGGACAGGTCACTCACAGTTACTGACTCTAAAGATACTGAACTGATCCAGACCCAGAAGGGTGCGTTTCAAAAATTTTATGATTTAATATTTGGTTTTTCATGCTGGTTTGGTTAACCAAACAACACTCACAACCCTAAGGATGGTGACTGTGGTGGTCAAGAGATCTATGTAAAATATATTAGTGTGGGAGTCTTCATCACTTCATTGGTCTAGTTGCCTGCAACAAGGGTACCATTGATGATAAGGGGGGTCGTTGCATCTTCAAGAAGTGTGACGTCCGTTTGAAGATTCATCAACCACTAGTCTATCCATCTATAAAATATACTCGCCTGACCCCGGCCAGTTGCTCGGAGGAAGATGAGGTATGAAATTTGAGAATGTAATGGGTGTATAGCTTATTCTTGTATAGTTTTTTTTTTAAAACATGTGATAAAGATTGTGAATTTTAGCAGGAAAGAGACATGGATGATGCAACGAATAAAAAATCAGCCTTATGAACCAAGATCAAGTACCTGTTTCCTTGTGAAACAATATTATTTCTAGTAATATAATGAGGTGGAGTAAGTTTTATAGAAACCGAATTCCTGAAAACCGAATAAAAAATTGCCTATCCCGCTAGTCTTCGAGAAATGAGCATCCCACAATCGTTGCTAGCTTTTACTCGGCCCGTTGGCTGATTAATTTGCTTTATAAAAATTCCATCTTGTTGTCATTGTGCTTTCTGTTTTTTACCAGACCATGATAAAATCTAAAGAAATCAAGAACTAACAAGACGATTTGGGATAGGAACCGCCGTTCATGTATCTCTAGAAAATGGTGGTAAACACGGACTCAGCTGCCGAACTGGTTTGGATTGAGGTTTTTATCGAGTATCAGAAAACCATATGATTATAAATTATACTTGATCAAAACGGGTCAAATACTTGAAATTCGACCTGTTTAAGCGACCCATGCCAAACTCTAATTATTTACTCTACCCGCAACTCCTGCTTGCTTCACCCTTATGCAGATCAGCCTTAGCAAGGCCTCCCATGTGTTCGGCCAGCTAGAAACCATCCTGACAAAAATTGCAGAAATCACATGTAGATAGAAAGACAACATAAAAACAAGTGTGTTTTAGTATTTTATGCCCCTTGACAAAAAGACACAAGAGGCATAAGTGATTTTCCCTCACTCTTCGAGCTTATCTCTAGTTGCAATTCTATTGAAGATTATCAACCAAGAGTACACTATTTATTTAGGTATAGTATGCTTGCTTTACATCAATTGCGACTATTCGACCTTAGGTCTACGCACCCTAATAGAATGCCATATTGCTGCATAGAGAACTTAGTTATGAGCTTCCCTTCCCAGGTCACTCTTTCTTTACCATCAACATTCATTCAAAATTGTAACTGACTGGCCACGGATACTCCGCGATTTATATCATGACTAGAGTTCAAGCATAAACTCTAGCTAGATGCAGTATAGGGTAAGTATGTTTTAATTGTCAAACCCGCGTCGGTTCATGTGCCCTACTTCAGTCGCTTAGGTTGTTAACTAGCAAATGGTTTTGAGTTTAAAACTAAGAAAACTACAAAATAAACAAAGAAGTAAAGTAAATAGAGGTTGTCACAATAAGAGAATTCACCCGGATATTGCTACCTCTAGCTACATATCAAGATCGACCAAATCGAATGCAAATGTGTGGAGGTGTGTTCATAATCCGTAGGAGGGCACAACAAGTGAAAGAAACCTCACTCCCTTAGTCAATCGATTACGGAAAATAATTAAGGTAGGAACCTTAGCTCTCTCAATCAATGGATTAAGGATTGCTACAATAAACTAGGAAGTCTAGCTCTCTTAACCTTTCGGCTAAGGATTGCAACAATAAGCTAGGTGTCCTAGCTCTCTTAACCGATAAAACTAAGGGTTGCAAGAACCAATCCCTCAAAACTTAATCCGGACGAAAAAGTAACACCCAAGTTAAAGTACTAAATCGAAGTTTGAGGTTTGCCCTAACTTTCCCTAGGTAGGTAACTAAATTGGCCAAGGAATCTAGCTTATCAAAGCCTCCTAACAAAAATGGGAATTCCCTCTACCTAGGTCAAATTGGCATGGTAATGAAAAATGAAGAACACAACCCAAACATCATGAAAATACCTCAAACTTTGCATTAAACGCAAACCCACACACAAAGCATTCAATTAATGCAATCTATCACATATTTCAAGCTAGGGTTCATAGCACCCAAGTGAATAGGTAGGCTATTCCATAGCTAGGCAAAGGAAAACAAGAAAAAGGAGAGAAAGAAGCATGAAGAGATGACAATCATAATTCCTCCTTTCTTGAATCTCCCTTGGGAGGTAAGAATCTTCACTCCTCTAGCTTAGGGCAAGCCAATCTCCTTCTTCCTCCTTTGAATGACACTTTCTCTTTTTAAAATAAGGGGTCGTTTGCTTGTTGGATTTGGTACCCAAATCCCAAGCTTGATGGATTTAACTTAAGTCCATTGTTTGTTGAAGGGTGCTAAATCTGTGGGGTCCACAGATTTGGTCTTTATTTTGGAACCAAATTCGTGGACCCACGGACTTGTAAATCTCACATATTGATTTGGGATTTGCAAATCCTTGATGATTAGTTATTTATTTAACAAATCCATCACAAATCCATAATCAAATCTATCATGCGAACATTAGACTCTTCAAATCCATAATCCAATAAATCAACATAAATCCCAAGGTTTTTGCTGGCCAAAACCCTCATTTTTCAAATCCAACAAGCAAACGACCCCTAAGAAGAGGAAAACCTAATTCTCACTAGAAACCCTCTTTTATTCTGAAAACTAAAAACCAACAAAAACTCCCCCTTCACTTTCAGCTCACTTCCCCTTTTATACCCATATCGACGCATGTTCACAGTCCCAGTTCACGGCCATGAACATTCGCCATGGACCGTGAAGTCGAGCAGATTGACATCATTTCACTAAGTCACTTCACTGTCTGGGGCTGGAGTTCACGGTCACATGACCGTGAACTAACTGGACTCTAGTGAGACGCGCAACTGTTCTGGAATCTCCGTTCTTCACGGTCTCGGGGGAAATGTCTTTGGACTTTTCTTCACTTTTTGGCGCGTTTCCACTCCAATCGTCCTGAAAATCGTCCTCGACCCTTCTACACGTACTAGGACCTGAAATATGACAAAACAAGCACAATCTAGCATAAAATATGTTGAGGGACGATGAAATGCAAAGTTAAACTATCAAGAAACAAGAGGTAAAATGTGTACAATTAGACCCGAATCACACCCCCACACTTGAATGTTTTCTTGTCCCCAAGCAAACCAATCAAAAACAAGGTAATTCTTCAACCAAACAGTACAATAACTTGGGAACACATCAAAGGATACAAAGCGGGCGAATCTCAATGACTATTGGGCATCAACATATGAACCATTAAAAGCAATACCGACATCCACCACAAACGACATTCGAATGCATTAAAAACATGCAATAGTAAAGTTCTCGCCCGGTTCACAAATCAATGCAATTCTCGACAAGACTACTCACCAAACACAACTAACCATGCATAGAGTTCAAGTCCAAGGAACAAACAAATGGGCGACATAGGTCCTCACCGGGATAAGATATGGACATGCAAACTGTGAATGAATCATTCACTCTCGACCAGTGGGATCGGGACCATTTGGTGCAAAAGATGTGCACAATCATCAACAATGAACCTTATAGTCTCTTCACCACGGCGACAACCTCTAAATGCTAGAGTTTACAAGATGTTTGTCATCACTAGCTTCTTTGGAGGTTTTAGACACGAGTTCAAATGACTGGCAATTGTCTTGGACATGGGGAAAATGCCTTTTGGGTGGTGGAAAACATAACATGAGGTCCTACATCTTCAAACTAAAACCAAAGATTCTATGGTTTCGACTAAGAACCTTTCCTACAATCAACGACCACTAACATCAGCTAAAAACCTCACTTCCCTTCTTCCAACCCATTACCAACCACGAACTACATTCAAGCGCACATCCTTAGCTAATCCTGTTATCCACAATTCAAGCATAGTAGTGAAAGAGGTCACCAAACAATTTGGGTGTTTCAATGGCTTGACTGCCAAGAAACCCTTTCTAGAGCATACACTTAGACTTTGTGGCAACTCTCTACTTTTATTTACCCCGTTCTTATTGCCTCTTTTTTGTTTCTTTTATTTTCCACTTTCCA